TACAGAACAGTTCACTTAGGAAAAGTGGGTCTGAAGTGAACCAGGAAGAAATGGTGTGTATTTAACTTGCGGTGTAAAATTGCACCAACAACAGCTAAAGCAACAAAGTCCAGTTTGAATAAGGCGAGAGGAAACCAGATCACTGTTGGGTTAATGTCAGTGGTGTTTTGCAAGCCATACTGTAGGTAGGGATCAAGAATCATCAACTAACTCCAGTGGAGGTTTAAAGCAAGGGGGCCGGCCTCTATGTGGAGTGTCGGGCATTTCCTGCATCTAACTTTTTAAGCGTACTTTTTTCCGTTTGACAAAATTAGGTTGTACATATGCCCTAGCGAATGTCCAGTTGGTGCTAACCCATTAGGATATCGTGCCTGTACTAACACTTTAAACATTTTTTAAAGTGTTAAAATTTGACAGCTGACTACAAAAGAACTGAGGACACACAGAGAAGCAGGGTGACCAACCATGGTGTTTTGTCTGGGACCGAGAGATGTCCCAGGACATGAGACATTCAGTGCTGAAACTGTGACAGTCATGGGAAAACCAGGATGGTTGTCCCCCAACACGGGGAATAACTTGGAGGTAACATTTCTATTAAGCAACTTCTGCATTTTGGGGTCATTTTTGTACCAGCCCATTAAAGAAGAATGTGAGCAAGCCTTGAAACAGCCTCAATGTTTTCCTGAGGAGGAATTCCTTTTGTTGGGAATGATGGTGGAAAGATGGAAAGTCTCCAGTGGGAGACCGCTCTCGCTCCCATGGGCTTATTCCCTGAGAACCCCAAGGGACACGAGGAGACAAGTAATTGGAGATCTGCTAGAAGAGTTCACAGGCGGATGATCTGTTACTGGGGGTGAGAGAGGTGGGTGTTTGTCCAGTGGGACCTGGTTTAAAAGCCAGTAGATGAAAACAAGTTCAAGACCATATGAACTTGTAAGGAATTCAGCAAGAGCCATTCACCTTTCCTTTGCAAGAGGTCTTCCCTCAGCCAAACAGAAGTAACAGGCCTTGTCACAAGGTCAAAGAAACTCAAAAGCCAGCTCAGTTACAAAGCCAGGCATTCTCTTTGGTTCATGGGAGGATGTTTACTTGGCCTCATTTATTCAGTGCTAGCCCTTATGACCTCAGTAGTGGGCTTCTTAAACTCCTTTCAGAATTTTTTTTTGCTGTTGATCATTTCAAAATCTCTCAGGTCTTTCACAGAACGCAAAACAGCCATATTCCTCGCCCCAAATAATGCCCTAAAACTTGGCATGTGGTCATGATTCTGTATTCAACAGAAGGGGGCCACACACTTAATTATTTGCTTCCCTATCTGTCTGAACTTCCCATTAGGAAAAACAAATTAAGTAGCTTATGAGTTCTGGGTTGAGGCAAACGGAGAGCAGGAAGAAGTTAATGTGGCAAGGATCTTGATTTGGCCATATGGATGCTATAGGAAGGAGCAAGAAAGAAGGAGAAAATGCTAGAACTGGTCAGCATCCTCACAAGGCAAATGAAACTCTTCTGGGGGTGAGCTCTTCTATTCTTCAGAGATGTTCCAAGTGTCTTCAATGATAAGCCACTGAGGCACCAAAAGCAAAGGACAAGCTCTGGGGACAGGGGCTGGCACTTCTTCCATGGCGAGTGAAGTCCCTGGGGACACGGTTCTGTTTCTAGCCTAATCTGGTGCGGTATCCACTAGGAGGGTTCTCATGCCTGAGTCTTTGGAGTAATTATTCTTATTGCTACGCTAAAACTCCATTGGCGTGAGTCTCCAAGGCCATCAGACAAGTCTGGGGGAGACAGCGTGTCAGGCAACTGGTTGTCCCATCCTGACAGCCCCAGATTGGAACCCACAGCTCTTTTTACACTAATACAAACTTTACATAGGTTTCTGCCACTTGAGTAACCTATATGGGTACAAACATGTATAAATGTAGGGACTACTATAGCACAGCACAGTGTATGAGAACCTTCAATGAGGGATTGATATAGGTTCTGGGTTCCTGGCTCTGGGGACACCGTGAAAGTCATTCTCTGGTCTTCAGTGTCCTAACTAGAAACAGTACGAAACTGGACAGGATGACCTCTAGGTTCCTTCAAGTTCTCACTAAGTCTCTGTGATTCTTCTCCTTGCTTCCCTTCTGGACCACACCTACTAGTCAAAGATTCCCTTTCCTTCAGAGCCAAGCCACGAAGAGGAGATGTAGAATGGGACACAGCTTTAGGGTGGAGCGCGAGATGACGAAGCACGGAGAAGAGCTATTTGAACGTATGGAGAGCTGGTGAGCTGCCTTGATAAAATGGATTTGCAGGGTTAGTTCTGGGCAAGCTCATTTCTGCTTGGTGACTTAAAAGTCTGAATGGAAGGTAGGAATGGTAGAGAACAAATTTGAGCTCTGATTTCTTAGTTTAAAAAGTTAATAATATTAACAAAATTTTAATGTTAATAAATAAAATATGACCTTTATTCTACAGACGTTATTAAAAGAAGGGTCACTTTCTGTCCCATGAGGTCATACTAAGGCAAATTGGACAAACATTCTTTCATATTTAATGAAACATGCTTAATGATTCTATAAACACATCCAGTTTTTCTCGTGATTTTTGCCCTCTAAACTGTGAGGCTGAGGTTAGAGCTACAGTGTTAGGCTGCCCCAGGAGTCAGATTACTTGGCCTTTCAATCTTCATCATTATTTGCTCTCTTCCTTTTCTTTCTTTGTCCCCACCCATGAAAATCCTGTCAGTTGAACTCAGTTGTTCCCTCCTCTGGAAGCTCACCTTCAAACTCCCAGGCGGAGTTTATTGCCCTTCCTGTGGGCTTCTAGAATACTTTGATCATATAGCACCTATCATACTGAATTATGGTCAGCTATTAACTCGTCTTTCTGCTGAACTGGAATTTACTCCATCTGGTACAGGGACCGTGCAGTCTTTGTAATCCAGCAGAGAGCAGGCACCCAATTTAGTTACTAATCAAATTACACTGACACAATACTGATAACAAAGGGTTCTATTAGTGCTAGAAGGCTTCGCTGGGATCCTCCCTGGCATGTTGAGGAATTGATGTGTGTGCAACAAGACCTTGTGCATCTTAAATCGAATTCCAAATTTTAGTACTGAGATTCCCAATTTTATTTTGATTGGGAACCTGATATAGTGGAGGAGGAGGATGGGGGATGCTGGCAGAGTGAGGGGGCACAATCAGGGGAGAGTACCTGTGTCAGTGGAAGGGAATCATTCCAGCATTCACAGAATTAGCGATTGTAGCAGATGCTGTTGTCGTCTGCCTGGATCCCCTTGGATCCCCTTCACGGCTTTTGGGTGCCCATTCCTATGCTTCTGTGTTTCACTTCTGATGGCCTGCAGCCCCTCTACCATCCCCGTGAGACTGTCCTTGGGTCTCGGGCCATGGGAACCACTTCTTTGCAGATGCAAAAAGCTGGAGCTCTTGGGAGATTGCATCCCCGTCACACCTTCTAGTCTTAGCAAAGGGGGACTGAGGTGGAGCATGAAGGCCCAGCTCCCTTAGCTAAGATGCTATTCTGACTCCAGAGCTCCCTCCACAATCAGGCAGAGAACTGGCCTTGGCCTGAAATCACACTCTTACTTGACTTTCTCCCTCTCCTGACTTGTTTCCCCCTCTCTGCTTCGGATTCCCCCCCAGGAGCGTTTCTTGAATAAATTGCACATGCATCCTTGTCTCAGCATCTGCTTGTAGAGAGCCTGCTCCAAGACAAGTTTTCACCTTTATGGCTTGGCTTCTCGTTGGAAAGGCCAAAGGCAAGCAGATGCCTGCTTCTGGGTTTCAGTCTTGAGAGGATTAAAATGGGCATCCTCCATTCTCCATGGCTCACCCCCATTCCAAGGGGACATTTTACATGCTTCCGGGACAGGACTGTGGGAACAAACTGGAGAGCACTGACCGAGTCCTGCCTAGCCTGTGGAAGATGCTTTTAGCTGGTGGGGCCATAGGAGGCTTTGATGAAGTTTTAAAAACTGACTTAACCGTCCATAAATGGTCCCATATCTGACTCAAATACATCTATTCAAAGGTAAAAATCTATTTTTTCCCTCTCATCACACTTCAAAGTCTTTTACATCTCAATTCAAGCCAAGATGAGAATTGGAAGCACTGCATTACTTTTTTTTTACTTTTTTGGAAATTATTCTTGAAAAAGTTGGTTCTTGTGATCTTTTCTGCCCAGTTTTCAGACATCTTTTTAGAACTTTGGATAAGAATCCAGACTTATGTATATTCTACTGACACATGTAAGAGTCTTGCTTTCAATTAATTGGGCAAAGAAAGATGATTTGCTGAATACTCATTCAGGTTTGGTTTTTATTTTAAGCTAAAAGATCAATAAGATTGACCATCTTCAATTACAAAATGATTAGCTGTGTTATTGGAAGTAATCTTGTGTGGTAGATTCCAGACTTTACTCTTTAGAAACATATTGTGAAGCAAATTTTCTCACTGGGTGAGAGGGAGATTGAGTGACACAAGATATTTTTTGTCAAAATTAGTAGTTTGTCCTCTTTCCCTCACTTAGCCTCAAAAAATTCCAGAAATACTTAGATCACTCAATTATTAAAACGTGAAGGGTAAAGTCTGTTCCCTGTGACAGAAATCTCATAGATGCTTATTCTAGAATGTGCCCCCCAAACACTTTTATTTATAATGCATCACCTCCTTTCGTGAATTCTGTCAGATCTGCCACCTCAAGATCTAATTGTTGAAATAGCCCCAAAAGAAAAAGAATAAAAACAGACAAACATTACCAAAGTGAAGAATATTGTCTTAACATTTAAATTATTTCACATATTCATATTCCTTTGGACTCATTTTCTTCTTTCATCATTTTTTAAAAAGATTTTATTATTTCTTTTTCTCCCCAAAGCCCCCCAGTACATAGTTGTGCATTTTTAGTTGTGCATCCTTCCAGTTGTGGCATATGGGATGCCGCCTCAGCGTGGCCCGATGAGCGGTGCCATGTCCACGCCCAGGATTTGAACCGGTGAAACCCTGGGCCACCGAAGTGGAGCATGCGAACTCAACCACTCGGCGACGGGCCGGCCCCTTTCATCATTTTGAAGTCTGTGTTATGAATGAATATGAGCTCTTCCATGTCCGCTCCTGCAAAAACTAAAGCTTGCCAGAGTATTAGACTATGGTTATAATTCATGTAGTGTATTACTTGATACTCAAAGGAATCTACACATGCATATGTATGCCCACAATAGACTAATTTGAGAAAAATGCAGTCTAATGAAAAATGCATGGACTGGGAGTGAGAAGGGGTGTTTCGAACCTCAACTCACCTCTTTCTATTCTGTGACTTTAAGCAAATCACTGACCCTCTCTTGCCCCATTTCCTTACTCTTAAAATGCGACTAATCATACCTTTTTGGTGTGAGCATCAAATTGATAACATTTCTGAATGAGCTTTATAAATTGAGAAAGAGTATTCAAATATTAGTTTACTAATTAAAGCCGAGACTGGAAATACTCGTTAAAGATAAGAAGTAAGTTCGATCATTACAAATCATGACCTCCATTTATAATCTTGTATTAATCAACTGGCCAAGTATTTTTGTGAGGGACCGTGACGTGCCAGCTGTCCCTCGAGGGGCACGCATGAACACAGCAGTGCCGTCAATCTCTGAAATGGAACACAGACAGTAAACGGTGAAGAGTTAGGACCATTTAGACAACGCAAAGTGGCTTTCCAAGTAAAAGGGGATATTGACGTTCAGAGTTGGATCGGGACCTTACGAAATGAAGACCTTAAAAATGATGTCCCTGAGGAGGTACCACTTGTGGTAAGACCTGAATGGTGATAAGCGGTTGGTGGATGAATAAAAATGTGAGGGAGAATGTTCCGGGCTGAGGGAACAGCCTGTGAACATCACCTGAGGTAGGATCTGGTCTGATCCAGAATGCTGGGTCTCCCCTTTTTTGTTTTTCTACAGCTCTGTGCTCACCTGTTCTATGTGGGACTTTTGTCATATCCTCCTAGGAGATCGGCTGATTTTACAGTTCTGGAGGAAGACCATCAGCTTTAAGAAGTCTGAACCTTGTGTGGCTTCTTCATTCTCTCAAGCCCTGAGCCCCTGGGAGCCCAGCATCTTCTCTCAGGGACCACGGTGCTCTCCCCGACTGAAGATGAAACCCTTGCTTCAAGGGAAAGAGGAGGACAACAGGGACAGATTCCCTGTGTCCCCAGCGGGAAACTGGGAAAGGAAATGATTTATGCCCTGGCTTTGAGTCAGGGGAGAGGAGAGGAAGAAACGGGGAGGTCTCAGACCTTCCCCCTAAAATGCAGACTGACACGCTACCCCTGCCAGCCCCCACCTAGTTCAAGCCTCCGGAGCAGACGCAGCCGCAGCCGCACCCAGGGTGAAGTAGGGGCTGCACCACAACGTGGAACCCAGAACTCAGGGGAGGGGAGGTGTCGTTTGCTTCCAACAAATCAAGTCACTCTCTGTTCCCTCCGATTTAAAGCAGCTGCAGTGCCTTGGCTCTGCCAAGGTGCCTGCGCAGGGGACATGTGAGCCTGTCATCATGTCCTTTGTGACAGAGAGCATTGGCTTCCCTTAGCGTTGCCTTTGGACCAGCGCGAGGGATTTCATTGGGGAAAGCAACTGTGGGGAAGTCGTCCTCTCTCCTAGGATTTACCAGGGTCCCCGTGCACTCTGGCCACAGGAAGGCTGGTGGCTCTCATAGGCCTTGGACTGGCCTCCCTTGACTGACGGCTGCAAGAAACTGCTTGGCGTAGGAAGGACACACAACTGCATTCCAGAAAGAAGCTCGCTGCCTCCGTTTCCAGAGACTGGAAACTTAGATTTCTGCTTCAAGGATGGCATTCTGACCATTTCTTACAAAGTGCTGGACTCTGTGCAAATGCTGGAAATCAGTTTCAACATGGAAGCTTAGTCCCAATTTCCACGATCCAGAAGAACCCCATTTCACCCATAGCTACCCAACTACTTTACGTTTTTGATTAGGCAAAACAGAGGCTATAGGAAAAATCAACATGGCCATACGGAGATTGAGCTAAAAACACAGTCTCCCTCCATGACGTTTTGCTTATGTGTATTTGATATATGTATCGTCTGTATGGGTTCACCCTGGTTTTCTCCAGGGGGCAGGATTTTTGTTAATATTCATTTGGAGTAGGGAGTGGGAAGAGGAGGCAAGAACGTGGGATAAAGGAGAGCCTGTCAGAAAAGATAATCTAGTTATTTATTTATAGTTTGTTTAGACAAAGGGACCTTGAAACAGGCTTTGATAAGAATCGCCAAAGTTTCTTCAAAGATTAACTGGCATTCTTTAAAAGGGCATTAGTTTTCTTTTGTACAGGTGTTCACAGAGCTCAGGACTGGCTGTTCCATTAGAATCCTTCGCTGGTCTGTAGATTTCCTTAAGACATACTGCTGACATCATGGACTCCTTTCTCAGATTCCTTCTCTCTCTTTCTCTCTCTCTCTTTCTCTGTTTCTCCTTCTCTCTCTCTCTCTCTCACTTTCTCTCCTTCCCTCCCTCTCTGGCCCTCCCTCCCTCTGCCCAATCTCTCCTAATCTCTTTCTTTCTCTCTTTAGTTCCTTCAGGTAAATCCCACTCAAACTTGTACCAACTTGTTTTTGACTGACAGTGAACAGCAAGAAAGTTTGCTTTATTTTGAGAGAACCTAAACATCTCTCTTTCCCAAGGCAACCTGCGGCAAACACTCATTTCTTTGCCTTGTCCTGACTTCACAGTTGTCCAGGAGTCTGCACTCCTCCGTCCTTGCAGGTAAGAGGTACGCGCTGTAAAAATATTGGAGCGTGCAGCAGGCTGGGGAGATTTATGAAAAACTCTCCTTCTAAAGGTAATGAAAAAGTTGCGATTCTTTTAAAACTTCTTTAAATCATTCAAGACACCCAAACTTATCTGGGGGAATTTGCAAGTGCTGTTTGCATGTGGAAAACGGGTTTTTACTTAATGATGGGGCAAAAAAAAAAGTGCTTTATTCTTGCCTGTGAAACAATCTCCAGATGTTGTCTTGTTTGCTCTGGGTGTAAGTGATCTAGACCGAGAGAGAAGAATTACTCCGACTTCTCTTTGCAAGTGTTTTTCTCTCATAGTGTCTGTTAGAGTAAGTTTGTTATTGATTTTCTCTGATTATAGATTCTTTGGGTCATTCTCCGGCAGTTATTTTTCTTTGTCGGTGGAGAAATCAGCTTAGGTTGCTGTAAGGCGAAACCTCACGGGAATATTTTAAAATCTGCTACCTAGCCGTATGAGAAAAAAAAAAAAGTGACGTAAGTTTCCGTGGTAGGTATAAAGAATGTAAACAATTCTGACTTTGGAAACATTACGAACCTTGTTCATGACCCATGGATAATGCGTTTTATAATCTGTGTATAATTTCGTGTGAGTTTAGACTATTCTCAGCTAATAAATGTTACGCTGGGTGAAATTTCCACATTGCTTCTGCGAAACTAGCTTTTTATTTCCTCTCTCCACTTCCGCATTTAGTTGCCTGAGGAAATGAGAATTTGTTGTTCAATAGATGTTTCTTCACCTCCCAATTTCTTTAAGTCACAGGTTCAGAAACTTACAACAAATGGAATATTTAACTTGGAAAAATTAGAAACCAAATGTGTCTCCATCAATTCGAACATTTAGATTTATTTCCTCTTATCAGGAAAATATCTTAATCTTTTTCTCTTTTACCTAAAGGAAGGATTTTGAAAAAAAATTACTTTAAGTTCTTTTTTGAAACCTCAAAATCACACACACACACACATACAAACACACACACACAATCAACCGTTACCCCAGATCAGATCCTATCCCTTTTTGTCCTCTCTCGTGAATGTTTAAACAAACATGTAATGATCAACAATAGCCTTGGGTGATAAATTATCTCAACTTAAACTTGTCCTAAAATCAAAAGAAAAGAGTTGAACACAATTATAATGAATTTTTAAATGCCATCATTTTATGAAAACCTAAGGTCAGGAGACTTCCAATTGAACAATTAAACACTTACCTCACACACAGCTCCCCTCAGCACTGGTCTTTCCCTGGGTTTTATTTTTTAGCAAATTTCCTCCTTCTCTAGCTGTAAATATAATAAATAGCCATCCAGGGAGCGACCCAGAGGTCACATGGAAAGTCTTCACACAAGGCTGGAAGGTGCACAATTTAACCAAATCGCCAGTAGTCGTATCTCAGAAACGCTAATCAAATCGCAGACCTGACATTTCTTCCCTGAATTCAATAAATGCATAAGTAGTTTGAGGGTTTTATAGAAATGGACCTAGTTGACTTTTGTGATTCTGGTTGCTTAAGGAAAACACATTTTTAAAAATTGCTCCCGCCCTCTACCACTCCTTCCTCCCGCTAACAGTTGTGGTCATTTCACAGAAAGTGCTATTTCCCCAATTTCCTCTCCTCGCACTTATAACCAGCGCAGACAGCCCATACTGGGGCGGGGGAAAGAGAGAGAGCGAGACCCCAGGCTCCCCACGCCGGCAGCCCCGGAGAGCCAACAAAAGCAGGTCTGTTGGCTCACACGCTCCTGCTCTGCCCCGGCGTGGAGAAAAGCTTGAAAAGGCTGCACTTTCTTGTTTTGGGGGCTGTGTGTGTGTAATTGTATACCTGAATGACAACAACATGCTTGGTACAAGAAAAACCCAACAACATGTGGCTTGAGGCAATGAACAGAGGCAAACTTTTTCTGACTTAATCAGTGGAAGTCGAGTAGTTGAAATATCCCTTCCTGTCTCACCCCCTCGCGTCTGTTGGAGACACAGAGCAGCCCACTGACTTCCTCGCATGCACTGAGTTCAGAGCTCACAGTTGTCTTTGGAGTGTCTTTACCTGGCGCATGCAGCGGACTCCTAGAACCAACGTAACAGTCCAGAGAAGGAGCCATAAGCGTGGTCGGGCTGCAGATGACTAGCCCCTGGGACAATTCTTTAAAGTGTATAAACCTCCCTAATCATTTCCTTCAGTCTTTAATATATAAGTACTTCAGCTGCTGTCTCTTCTCCTGCAACAATTCAAGCCCTTCACACCAAGCAAATCAGGTATCTCCAAATGCGTTGTTTTAATTCTTTTTTTAAGTAAGAACAAGTCTACTCCAAAAATAGTCAGGAAGCTACGGCAAGAGTTAATGCTGGATTTTGTGCTTGCAAAGACGAGTTTGTTGCTTATTAATGGGTAGACACAAAAGGGATAACAGGCAGAGATTATCATCCATCCTTCTCTCTCTCCTGCCCTTTGCCTTCATTTCATACAGCCACCTTGGAAGTGGGGCTTCTGGTTCAGTTGGAGGGTGAGGTGTGGTGGGCTGGGGACTGGGATAGTGCAGGAGCAAAGCGAACTGAGGGTGGCCTTGCTCTGTGCTCCTCAAGGATGCAGAACCCTGGAAGCGGGAAGATCTGACCCAGCTCACCTGGCTCTGTAGCTCCCTGGTGCCAGTTTTACAGACAGGTAAAGGAGCCGTGTGGCCAGAAGTGAGCAGCCCAAAAGTGCCAAACCCTTCCTCCACTCAAGGAACTAAGGGAAATCTGCTCCCTCACCTTTAAAGGGAGAATTGAGGGCACAGCGGGAGACAAAATAACTTATAATCTTTAAAGAAAGATACTGGGAAAGAAGTTTTATTTGCTACGTGTCACTCTGTTGAGATGAAAGAAAAAATGAGCACATAGACATTCCTAATAAAGATGAGGCAGGAAAGTGGAATCAGACTCATGTTGTCCCCTCTGCAACAAGCTCTCTGGGCTGATGCACACAGTGATGTGGGCTTCTCTGCTCAGTGAGGTGCAGCTGGAGTCCACATAGAAATTCTTAACCTATTCCCAGGGCTTTTCAGCTGAAAATGTTCCTGTCCTTTTCATAAAGAAGACGTCAGAGTTGGTGAGGAGTCTGTCCACTTGCGTTCCCTTCAATGGGCATCGTGCCTTAAGAGATGAAGAGATCAATAACCCATGGTCGTCATAATCCAATTTGACTCTAGACGTTCTCATGTGGCCTAATTCCAGAATACAGTCCATGCTTCTAGACCTGAAGTTCCGTAGCACAAAATTCCAGATATTTTAGTCACGATACGAAGACGAATCAGGGTTGTCTGATCATGCTCACAGCATCAGAAGATACCCAAGAAGGAGGACAAAGCATTGATTTTTGGTAAATGTCGTAGGAAGTAACTAAGTAGAAGAGCATGTCTTTGCTACCTTGGCACTGAGGACCCAGAGGAGATGGAAAGAATTAGCAACAGAATAAGCACAGTTTTGTTTTGTTCTTCCCCTGGATCCTGCAGTTCAAATGCAGAGCAATCTAGATGTGTAGGGATCCACATTACACAAAGCCAGCAGCTCCTTCCACCGAGGCTGGACAGTAGCCATAGGGCTGCACTGGCCACTCATGTCCCCATTCAGGGTCCAAGTTTAGGGAAATGATGTTCTGAGCCTGGACTTTGTCCCTGGGGTTACAGACCACACCAATCCTCAGAGGCACCATGGGGTCATCGGACTATGATGGGCGTCGCTCAGGGCAGGAATTCTGCAGTAGGGAATCCATTTCTCAGGGTGTTTTGAGGACCCAGATGGCTGGGTTTGGGTTTCAATCCACGTCCTGTTTCAGTCAAAGTTGCCCCGGTGTCAGCTGATAACTATGAAAGTCTTGTAGAAAACTAAGAATTTTCTCCAGTGTCAGCATCAGAGGCTGATCAAGATTTTATGGAGCCTGAAGATTACACAATTTGGGGGCCCTCCTTGAGGAAAACGAATGCAAAATTATGACTACAAAATTAGGAGCAAAGCTTTGGAGAGGGCTGGTGCAAGTGAGGAGGCCCAAAGCTTGAGTTTCATTAACTCCGTGAGAAATCCACTCTGCCTCCTACATAATAAAGCGCAATACTTGTTTCCTGAAGGAATGCTTGAGTTAATCCATGTAAATTTTAGCTACTGACTGCCCTCTAAGTAACTCTGGAAATGGCAAGTGAAAATAGCAGATAATCACACTTACACATACCTAATGATCAGGAATAGATGGAAAATTGATCTGAGTGATATCTAGAACACTTCTCATTTCACTGGCACATTTCCGTGAAATGTGTGACTGACCCTGTGGGTCATAACAAGGCAAGATGCTATCACAGCTCTGTTTTTCCCACAGCAGAGTATGTGGGTACTGAAATTAACAGTGTACTTTTCCCATGTGAAAAGCCTCAAGTTAAAACCCGAAGAACGCTATGCTAGATGGGAGCCTAGAACCTAGAATGATATTAAAGCTTTCAAGAATATGCTTCTAAGACTTCAGGGTTTGCCCCGGTGAAATATCTGTGTGTTCAGCAAGGGACTGACTCTCCTTCCCTCGATTTCTATTAATGCTGTTTCCATTTCCGAGAGCAGTTAACAGTGTCATTTCTCGGCATGAATGCTTGCTAAACCCATGCCTACCGGGCACCAGGCCAAATAATTCTCATTCAGTGATGTTTATGTCTTCAAATATTTGCAGATTCATATCTTGCTCCATCGTAGTTCTGTTTGCCAAAGAATGCAAGGTCAGCTGCCCTAATCTGGCTTTCTTACTTCCTGAATTGCCCTTTGGTCTATTCCTACCTTTTAAGAACACTTTTGAAAAGTTTATCCTTTGCTTTGAAGGGTCGTGAAATTTGGCATCATCTATGCTCTTCCTAACAACCCCATCCCCAAATAACTTCTAGGAGTTAAAGGAAATATATGAGCCCTGGAGCACCTGGCTCCTTTGTCTAGAATTCTCTAAATACTAAGGAATGA